CGCCCTCGGCGGCAGCCGTGTTGTGGGCGCAGGGGCTGCTCCCCCACTTTCGTCAGCGGGAGGGATGCTGGCGTCGCAGCTGGTTCCACCAGCTTTATGGTCTCTTTGTGCTGCTGCAGCAAAGCTGAGAATCTGGCCCTGGCTCCCTCCCCGCCTCGCCAGGGACTGCATCAGTGTGCTGTTTATTGTTTCTGCCAGATCATTCATGCAGATGTTAATGAATGCTAGACCCAGCTTTGCTCCCAGCAGAGTCCCTTCCACACCTCCCCCTGCCCAGCCCTCTGCACTGGAGTTTCTGTTTACAGTCCTGCAGGGAATTTCCCCTCTGCTGCAAGGTCTTCAAGACGCACAGTCCCAATTCCTGCTGCCAGCAGGCTCCCACACCTCCCTGGTTCCTGTAGCTGTCCAATGTCACCTCCAGGTGTCTGCATCCCTCACTGTCACCATTCCTTCTCCACCTCTGGCCTCCACAAACTAGAGACATGCCAATTCTCCTAGGAGGGAGCAGAGGACTTTGCCAGTGAAGAAAGTTGCTACAGGTTCTTCCTCTGCACAGATGGAGAAAGCACCAGGAGAAGAAGCCACCAAAGGGAAAGTACAAAGCAATTTGTCCAGGAGGACTCTGAGACAACATCTACGCTGATAAGTGGTGCCAGGACCCACCTCCTGGCCCTGCAGCAGCCCACAGGCATGCAGCAGCCTGCATCCGTACCATGGCGTTATCTTCATATTCCAACAAGGTGGGCACCTCCGTCTGCCTGTAATTGGGAAATGCTGGGAATACTTGGGAGACCGTTAATCAGCCCAGCCCAAAATCCCACCAGGGACCTCTGCAGAAGTTTAGCAGCACAGATGACCATGTCCGTAAGCCCCTGGTACTGCAGTGGCTGAGCTGCACAGAGCCTCGCTGTCCTGGCAGCTGTTGGACATCGGGAAGCCAAAGAGCAAGTCTACCTGCTGCAAAGAGCATCAGTCTCAGTAGGGGTTTCTGAACTCTTTTTGATCAAAGCAACATCACTTACCCTTCCAGGAGAGCGATGACATTCTTTCTGGGCCTCCCAATGTTTGGCCCATAGAGGTTTGCTCTGGAATAAGTGCGGATAAGCTGCAGCAGGCTTCTCAGCTGGATGTAGTCCTTCCCCAGCTGGCTGCCGTTCACTGAGCGGCCGATCAGGGTCCGATAGTTATTGGGCTCTGGGAAAATAAAAATAGACAAGCAAGGCTTGCCAGCTCTGCTCCTTCATCCGCGCTTCCGGAGAGAGACACACAGCTCACGCGCTGTCGCACAGCTTGAGCTCTGCAGAGCTGCCTGCCTGCTCTGCGGAGCAGCAGAAGGAGCCTCTGAGACATGGATGAGGGCCATCGCTCACTCTCCTGTGCCAGCATCTCCTCCTATGTCCCTTTTGCTGTGTGCTGGGTGAAGGACCCGCACCTTGGTGTCATGCTCCTGTCCCTGTAGGGTCCCCCACTTCCCCTGGCACTGCAGCCACCATACAAGTCCATACAGCTGCTGGTTTGCCCACCCCAGGACCAGCTGTACCTAGCAGCCAGGGCAAAGCGTTTCACGTGTTGTTTAATACCAACTGATAGAAACATCCAGCTAAGGTGCAAACACATGCCAGGTCTGTCTTAGAGATGATGCTGCCTTATAGCAAGGGCCTTTAAATCCCTCTGAACCTACAGTAGCAAAACATCCTGGGACTTGCAAATATCCTCTTCCAAAGGGGAATACCTTTCTGCTACAGTAAGCTCTGTTCCCGTGGCTCTCCTGTTCCCACACTCACCATTGCCCAGCTCCCAGGAGATGTTGTACTTCTTGCTGGCACTGTACTTCAGCAGGCTGAGGGCATTGGAGCTGTTCCAGGAGTTGTTGGGATTTCGGCGCAAAGCATTCAGTGCAAAGATCAGATGAAGGCCAGAGCAGTCAGCAAAGTTATAGAGTTTGTCTAGAGACCTGGCTGGGAAGAAACAAAAAACAGCTTGTAATTCAAATGAAAGCTAGTTCCAGAGAGGTTCAAATGATCCTGCTGTCCATCAGATCTTGACTTCTGTGTAGGATGAGCCAGGGTCAAATGCCATCCCTGTGACATCTGTAACCGCAGAAATGCACCTGACCTTTGAAACAGGGATAGGATTCCAGGTGTGGGCTCATCTCCTTCCAGCATGAAACTTGGATGCCCTCCACCACTGTGTCAGAGCTAGGGGCCATATTACCAGAGACAAGTGACTTTATAACATCTCTTTTCATCTGCTCTTGGCAAGGGGAGTTCAGCCTTTTCTGTGCTTATCCTGCCTTGCATCTCTTTCAGAACAGATCCTTCCAGTGCTTGGGGAGCAGAGGAGGAAATCACCACCGAGGGCTGCCAGCTCACGGCCACTTCTCCTGCACGCCACCACAACCTGCTCTCTGCTCCCACAGCCCCTGTGGAGTAACCAAAGCCCAGCTATAATCAAGCAGAGCCTCCAAGGCAGGCACCACACACCCAGCTAACCTCTGCTCTGCACACAGAGAGGAGCTTCGTGCCACCTCCTGAGCCTGGGGACAGAGGAGGGCTCCCCGCCTGGTGACAGCAGGGCCAGGCTCTGCTGCTGGGGTGGGGGGTGCTGGGGTCTTTGCAGGATTCGTGTCCTACCTGCTGGCCCCAAAGCTCCCCAGCTGGCATCTCCCCTGCCGTGCTGTGGCCTTGATGAGCAGCGGGGCACTGGCCAGCAGCAGAAGCAGAGACCAAAGAGCTGACCCACTGTTCAGTGAGGAGAGACATTAGCACAGGGTGCTGCTGCTGGGAAAGCCAAACCGCTTAATGCATTTTTTTGCTTCAATCTTCCCTAAAAACTCAAAAGCAATCAAATGTCTGATGAAGCTAATGGCAGTGTTAACAGGATAACTCCTCATGAGACAGCAAGAGGAGATTTGGTTAGAGGACAATTAGGTAACAATGGTGTTTTCAATCATCCCTGCCTGTTGAACTGCATCCCAGGACCCTCGGTGAGCTTCCTGAAGCAGCCTTGGAGATGCAACCGCTTAAGTGTGAGGAGCCGATGGGGACGTTCCAGCGGGCTGGGGAGGGCAGACTGAGGGCTCCGCTTTCAGAAGAGGGGAAGGAGGCGCTGGGGAATTACAGAGTAGGCAGACCGGCTTCAGGTCCCAGAAAAATACTTGGACAAATAATCAAGCTGCTTGTCAGCACTTACAAAATATAAGGAGATGATCAACAGCCACAGGAATGTGTCAAGAACAAATCACACTGAAGCAATATACTGACAGGAGAGTAGGGTTTGCAGGCAGCAAAGCAGCTATTTAGGTCTTATACCTTGATGGTTTTTAAGGATTTTGGCATGACTGCACACGATGTTCTCTCCAGAAAGTGAGGTAACCCTGATCTAGACTGAACTGCAGTGAGAAATATGCACACCGAGAGCAGCTACCAGTAATTTGCTGTTAAACTGGAGTCCAGGCAGCCTGCTCTGGGTCTCTTTACAATTTCCAAAAAAGAAAGGTAGAAAGGAGTGGAGGATACATACATCAGACTTGCTATGGCACCCACGTGCTAGCATGTACCACCACGGCCAAGGGAGCTGAAGGGGATGGAGAGGAGGCGACCACATGCTCAGGGAATTGCTCTAAGCCCAGGGGCGATGCTCCGAGACTCCCTGTGCCCACACTGCTGGGCCAAGGTGCGAGACGGTGACAGCCAGGAGCTGCTTGCTCCGGTTGGGATAAGCTGCTCACAGCCTGTATGTCTGCGTTTATTCTGTCACCTTTCCTGGTCACTGAAAGCCTCAGCGAATACAGACTCAGCTCTGAGAAGAATAAACTTATTTTAAAAGCAATGTTTTAAGGAGGGTCAAGGAAATACACTAACTGAATAGCTAACGTTTAATGGAACACAGCAAAGTCATGGAAAGGAGAAGAAAGGAAAAATGTGGAAAAGAAATTCCTAATCCCTTTCACAATCTTTTTCTAAATGCTACTGGTTGTTTGAGTGAAAAGTAGCTGAATTAATCTAATGTATTCATCCCACTGGTTCAGGCACACTAGCTGTTTTTCTGGATGTCTGGCAAATTAGAGACAGATACAGTTACTTAATACTCATTTACTTCAGACCTGCAGGCAAAAAGCTGCACTTGAAATGAGACTCCTATAAAGAGGATAAGATAGACACCTAAATGACAACATGAAGATAGCAAAAAGGTGTTACCTGCAGTTCCCCTGCTAGAAATGAAACCTTTTTGCTGGTGCAAAACCATTGTAGTTCTTAAGTACTACAGGAGGGGATTTGGTTCATGTTTAGGAGCCTCTGCAGAGGACTGGGAATTGATTTTCCATGCATCCACCGGAGGAAACAAGCCGTCTGTTTACCCCAGTGCAGGGCCTGCCACTGTGAAATTATATTTTCCCCATGACACTTATTTTGTTTCCGTGCGCCTGCACACAGAGATGCCACGTGTATTTCATGTTCTGCCATGCCTTTCCAAGCTGGAAACATCAGCAATCGGGGAGAGAAGTAGGAGAAACACGCAGATGTCTGGTGGTTGCTCCTGAATGTTTCCAGTCGTCTCCCAGCACACAAACCAACCTGCAGACTGCAACGAGGCTGCAAAGAGCAGAAAGCTACTAATAAACCTATCTCTGTATCAAAACAGGTTGTTAGTATGGGCACTCTTGGTGTCAAGAGTATCTTGGGTATCAAGCCCATTTATCTCCTTTATCCTTGGCAGCTCTCTAAGGATGGTGAATCTGGAAGCACCAGTCTCTCCAGTGACTCCAGCAGAACCTTGATGACCAGTTTGCACAAGATGCCCAACTGTTAGTGGTTAAAGGACACATCTGACCCCTCCTGAGGTGACTGCCTTAAACTGGACATCTCTGTTGCAGACAGCTGCGGTTAGATGAGAAGAGTACTGTCATGGGTGGCTAAAGCACAGAAAGAAGCATATTTAGAAGACCTCGAGTGATGTCCAGCCCTCCGTAAGTACAAACAGGGCCAAAAGAGAATGCTATAAATACTTTACTGCCATGACTAGGGATGGCCACGTTACTTCTGAGTAATGAGAACATGAAGAATCGCACTATTATTAACAGCTGGCTAAAACTCACTTTGAATTCTGGATAATTGCACTGCTTTTTCTTCATCAAACACAGAAAATCTTCCAGGAATTTAACCTTTCTCCAGCTAACAGATCATTAGGCAAGGCTTTGACAAAGCATTTCAATAGAAAAAGCCATTTTTGTACTAGAATGAATCTTGATAGAGCAGAACTGGTTTTATAAGACATTTTCCATGCCCCTTCTCCCCCTCTGTCCAGTGCAGAGGTGCACACGCTCAGCGCTCATGAGCCACTGAGCTCAGGGAGAAAGAATAAAGCAAAAAAAGAGGATTAAAAAAAAAAAAAAAAGTACGAGGATGTTGAGAGTCAGCTTCTGCCACTTACTAATGCTCACGTAGTTGGAGCGAGGCTAACCAAGGCAGCAAAGCTCCGTGCTCCGTTCCCTCATGCCCAGTGGCAGTGCTGTGCCGGCAGGCTTCAGTGGGGATGGGCACCTCAGTGGGTTTGGGACTAACAGCAGCCAGTATGCAGAGACAGAGGCGCCATGGTCCTGGCACAAAAAATAAATCAGGAGATATTTGGGCTTTCTCAGCCTTTTACATCCTTGGTTGCAGAGGCTTGGACGCATCTGGAGAGTGAATGCTGCCCGACAATGCATGGCTGGGTGGCCGCCAGTGGAGATCTGCTCGCAATCCTGCCCTCAGCTGAAGCTCTGCACAGGAATTAAAGATTTTGGCTGTTTGCATGTATCTCTCGTCCTGCACAGAGGGAGACAAACAATTTCAAAATGCAGGAAAAGGTGTCTGTGAGGCCACAAACGGTGGTGGTGTTCATGGGACAAGTACGTCCTTTGGGCTTCTTTCCCATTTTTCTCCTTTTTATACGAGGCTAAATTTTAAAGTTCCCTGAAAGATGGATGCCACTTAACTCTGTGGCATGCCAACACAAAATCTGAGGCACATTAAAACGTCTCTGGCAGTTTAAAATAGTTGGAAAGACTTTCCAGTTGCAGTTACTGAATTAAACATTATACTAGAGACTTTACAAAGAACACAGTATTGACTGCCATTTGGTAAGAGGGACAGTTCAATACTCTCTGGGTTTGAAAGTCTTCCATATTTTTTATTCTGCTTCAGGAATTTTGCTTTGGCAGGGTTTAGCGCGAAGAGTGGAAATTCATGTGCATGCTGAGACAGAGGCTGAGATCAGCCAGTGGGCTGAGGGGTGGCGGGGCATGGCACAGCATGCCAGGGGCTTTCGTAACTCTGGGAAGTCAACCAGGAGGACAGGAAAGAAGAGCCTGTTCTCCCTCTATCCCCACCATTCACCACGTCCATCTCTTACGCGTACACCGTGTGCCAGTGCCGAGGAGGACAGGGCAAGAGCTGAGCGTGGGGCGGGCAGTACACACCGCACTCCCCAAATCCGCAGGTTAGCTGGGAGACCAAGCAAATGCACAACCGATGAACCCTTCTGTTGATAAAGCAAAGAAATGCAGTTCTAGAAATAATGATTTCAACTAATCACAGGTATTGCTTGACTCTGCATTCCTCATAAAGTCTAAGCAATGCCTGGAGTGTCCCTGCAAACAGCTCCTGGTGCCAGCACCGAAGCCAGCAGCATCCCCTGCCCCTCAAGCACCCTGCAGGAGACAGTGGAGGGAATGGGTTAGGAAAGACCTGGCAAAGAGAAGCCCAAAGAGAACTTTACAGGGAGGGGGCAGAAAGGGTGGTACAGAGTGTTCAGACAAGAGATGAGTAAGATGGCTGTCGAGAGCAATGAATGGAAAAAGAAAGGCACTCCCACTTATAGAAGAACAAGTGGGTACATGGAAAATTTATTTACAAACAAATTGCCACCATAGTCAGCTGAATCCCATTTGCACTGGCTCTCTTGGGCTGAAAATCCT